GGCTGCTGAAGTATTGAATTGGATTAGCTGAAATAACCCATATTTGCCCTCTAAAAAAGAGGTTTATAGGCCAAAGCAGTTAAAATCACAATTGAGGGAAAGGTCCAATGTATTGCAACTATGGCCGACGAGAGTTAAAGATTTAGCCGAAATTAGATGTAATTGGTAAACACGACTAATTACTAAATAAGACGAATTACTATTAATTAATTAACAAGCTTCTTAATCTTAACGAAATAAAATAATTACATCAGTTATAAAATAACTAATTTAATTAAACTCAGAATTATAACTATAATTTAAACTAAATTAATAAAACATTTAACTTAAATTGTAAAATCTTTTGAGGTGATTTTCTGATATTCATAAAATATATTAATTATATACATAATTATATGAAATATATCTATTGCTTAAAAGCTATAAAATCCCACTGAAATTACTTAAAGTAACCTTGAAAAATATTTGAATTTTATAAAGCTAATTATTCTAAATCGTTTGAAAATTAAGAAGCTCAGAAATTAATTATTATCGGAGTGGGTCAAAATTGGGTGTCAACATACATGTATCTGGTATCTTAGATGTATGTATCTAGTGTGATTCGTATGTATTTGGGATACATAGATTATCTTGCTCACCTCTTTCCTTCTCTCGCTCGTCTCTCTACCACTTTTAGTGTATCTGGTTGCAAAAATATATGTATCTAGGTATATCTTACTTGAAATCTGATATGAAATTATTAATTAGTGAGACTATAGGGAGAATTATAGAAATGTGTATGTGTCTTACTAAGTCATTTTTCCTATATAAATCAACGTTGAGTCATTTAAATTTCTAATGGCCACGTCATGTCTTTTTCCCAAAAACCTGAAAATCTAGCATTGTGAAAGGTTGAGCCCAACAAAAGCATGTAAATGAAGGGTTAGGTGCACTTTTAACCCTTTGTGTTGGTATTTAATTTATACCCCTTATGATAAATAATTTTTTTCATAATAAGCTATGTTTGGACATGACTTTAATGTTTAAAGAACGTATACACCACTAGACATAAGTTTGATCCGTAAAACGCAAAAAATAAGAAAATCGGACAATTTGAAGGACAAAATATGCAATTTTATGGTAATGAATTGGAAAAGTTCAAAGTGAAACTCTACGCAGATCCAACTAATAAAATTTGGATGGAAAAATTATATGATACGGCAAACTAAGGCCTTATATTTACCTGAACTAGATCTATTTAAATAAATACAAATATTTTAGAGTTTTATAGCAGAGGTTATACTTATTATCCACTTGAATATATTAGACATTTGATATTGTATATACACTGATACACTTATTAAGCGCACAAATATAATATATTCAAGCTATTAAGATATTTTATACGTGTGAATACACTTGTTAAAAATGTGTGAATACAATATATTTCATTATTGTGATGTGCATGAATACCGTTGAGATGATTGTAGAGAAAATGGTGAAATAATAATTACATTACTAGAATTTTGTTATAACAGATTATGTAGTAGTTAGTTAGACTAGTCAGTTAGTAGTCATTCTATAAATAGTAGTAGATACACTAAATGTAATTCATTCCGTACTCATTCTAATCAATACACACAAGCATTTATTTACTCTCTCTATTAAGCTCTAAGAATGATCTAGAAGGTCTTCATCACTTCTTCAATGGAGGTTTTATCATGATATCAGAGCTGCGGTTAGGGTGATTGGAGCTTCAATAGTTGAGTAGTGAAGTTGCATGAGTCTCAATTTCTCAATTTCTCAATTTCTACAAAAGGTTTTCCCCAAATTCAAAATCTCTAAGGATCAGCGATGGTGGAATTGGAGGTTACAGATCATCGACATCCTCTATGTTTGTTACCATCAGATAATCTTGGAAATGTAATAATCTCTGGAATATGGAGCAAAGCAATGAAGATTGCATTGCGAGCCAAACGAAAATTAGGATTCATTGATGGAATATGCAAGAAGAGTTCGTGCAAATATGATTTAACAGAAGAATGGGAACGAGTGAATGTAACAATCCTGAGTTGGATTATGAATACAGTTTCGTAAGAGATAGTAAATGGGATTGTGTATACAGACAATGCTTATGTTGTGTGGATGGATCTACATGAGCGATTTGATAAGGTGAATGGATCAAGGATCTACAATCTTCATAGAGAAATAGCCACAATTTCTCAAGGTACTTCTGATATCTCTACCTATCATTCACGATTGCGTTTGTTAAGGGATGAGTATTGTTAATTAGTGCTAGCTATATGTGGATGTCTTGCATCAAAGGATTTTAAACTGCATCTAGAACAACAAAAATTATTTCAGTTCATGATGGGATTAAATGAGTCCTACAGTGCTATTAGGAGTCAGATCTTACTTATGATGCCATCTCCCTCTGTTAGCCAAGCACTTGCTATGCTTGTGCATGAGAAGAGTCAAAGGAAGATATGTGAATCCAGTTCATGTGTAGGAAATGAGTTGAATGAAAGTACAGCCCTAATGAGTATTCATGATACTCAGCCAAGAGGAAGAAAATTCAACAATAGCAATAACTATGGCAATAATTATAGGGGCAATTAATAATAGTTATAATAATAATTCCTTTTGTGAGATCTGTAAAAGGAAAGGTCATGATGAAGGTAATTGCTATAGGGTACTAGGCTATCCACCAGGCTATAGGGGAAGGAAAAAACTACAATCAAACTTAACCACAATGTCATGGGAGAGAACAATTGGGGACCATCAAGACAAGCAAATATGACTGCACATAATTATGCCAGTGACAAAGAAGATACCATTCAGCAGAAAGGGACTTCTGGAGGATCTTCTAATGGTTCTCATAATGCTTGTAAGCAACAACCATACCATCAGAGAGCCATCTTCACACAACATGCTGGAAAAAATTGTGGTAGTAATGTTCAAAGGTCTCAATGTCATTCAAGAGTTGAGCCTGATGGCAACAGAGGACAAAACTACTTCACAGATGAACAATACAATCAGATAATGAATATTCTTAACAAAGGCAAGGGAGTAGAGCTGGCTGAGAGCATATAACTCTTCTTCTATACAGGCTTGTAAGCCCTGGATAATAGACAATGGGGAAACAAATCACATGACTAATAATATGGATTTACTGAATAACTTGAGTAATATGCATGATCCTATGAAGAGTAGTGTACATCTACCAAATAGTAAGAATGTGTCAGTTCAGTATCAGGGAAGATGTAATATTTCAAATGATTGTACCATTGAAAATGTGTTATATGTGCCTGACTTCAAGTACAATATGATGTCAGTCTCAAAGATGACAAAAGAGTTACAATGCTCAGTGCTCTTCTTTCCATATTTTTATGTTTTCCAGGACCTATGTACTGGGAATGTGGGGGGAATTGGTAAAGAGGAAAGAGGTTTCCATCTCCTACTTCCTAGAACTTCTGAAAAGGTTATTGATAAAAGGGTAAATGCTAGCAACAATGTTACAGGAAAATTGTCTGAAGATGTGCAAGTTTGGCATAAGAGGCTGAGTCATGTCCCTGCTGCTGTGATGAAGAGGCTACATTTCCTAAAGAATAAAGTGCCACTTTATAGTTTTAATGATTGTACTGTTTGTCGTTTAGCTAGACAAACCAAAAAACCATTTCCTCTTAGTATTTCCAGAGTAACTGATGTTTTCCATTTATTACACATTGATGTATGGGGTCCTTATAGAGTCCCTAATATTACTGGTCATAGGTACTTTCTCACTATTGTGGATGATCATTCCAAGATGATATGGTTTTTTTTAATGAAACTCAAAAGTGATTCATTTGTGTTACTTCAATCCTTTGTCAAAATGGCACATGCTCAGTTTACTAAGAAGCTGAAAATGATCAGGACTGATAATGGTGCTGAGTTTTTTAGTAAAGAGTTCTCAGATTTCTTGGTCAAGAATGGTATTGGACACCAGAGTAGTTGTCCACACACTCCACAACAAAATGGAGTGGTGGAAAAAAGACACAGACACATTCTAGAAGTGGCAAAGGCACTCAGGTTTCAAGGTAATCTGCCTATTTCTTTTTGGGGTGACTGTGTACTAGCAACAATAGATCTCATTAATAGGTTACCATCAGTGGTTCTAGATGGGAAGTCTCCCTATGAGGTTTTCCATGGTCATACTCCCTGTCTTTCTCATCTCAGAGTTCTTGGGTGTTTGTGTTTTGCTACTATCCTAACCAAAATAGACAAGTTCTCCCCTAGAGCAATTCCTGCAGTCCACATAGGGTACTTCTCCACACAAAAGAAAACAAATTGTATTATTTCAACTCTAGAAGGTTCTTTTTCAGTAGAGATATTGTGTTCAAGGAACATGGTTTCCCCTTCTTGTTACTGGAAAATAAAAAACACAATACTCCCATGTTCTTTGACCTATCCAGTCCTGATACTATGCCTTCAAACCCTGCACCTACTGATTTTGCCATATCTCCTTCATCCACTGAATTATCCCTTATCTCACCACCAGTTTAGTCGTGTCCTACCTCTTCTACATCTGATTCTTGTCATTCATCACAACCTCAGTTAAGGAAGCCCACTAGAGGTACCAAGCTTCCAACTTGGCTTCAGGATTATGTCCATCCTGCTAAGGAGAATGTTGCTTGTTTATATCCTTTGTCCAAGTTTATAGGCTACTCTGGTCTTTCTTCCAACTGTCAGTCCTTCCTGGCTGCTATTTCATCTGAAGTGGAGCCTACTTCCTATGAAGAAGCCTTAAATGATCCTAGGTGGATTTCTGCTATGCAATCAGAAATTGATGCATTAGTTTAGAATCACACTTGGGAGGTTGTTCCTCTTCCTAAAGGCAAGAAACCTATTGGTTGTAGGTGGGTGTACAAGATCAAGTATCAATCTAATGGTGCAATTGAGAGGTTTAAATCCATACTTGTTGCTAAAGGGTACGATCAACAAGAAGGCTTAGATTATCAAGAAAAAAATTCCCAGTAGTCAAAATGGTAATTGTGAGAGCTGTCATTGCTTTGGCTGCTATGCACCAAAGGCCCTTGTTTCAAATGGACGTGTATAATGCTTTTTTTCAAGGTGATCTTGAGGAAGAGGTGTTTATGCAGTTTCCTCCAGGATTTGGTAGTCAAGGGGGTGATCATGCATGTAGACTCCTCAAATCTCTTTATGGCCTTAAGCAAGCCTCTAGATAGTGGAATTTGAAGCTCACAAATGCACTACTGTCAGCTGGTTTTATTCAAAGTCAATAGGATCATTCATTGTTTGTTTTGAAAAGAAATTCTAGACAGGTGATTATCCTTGTTTATGTTGATGACTTGTTGATTTCTGGAGATGACAAGGACCTTATACAAGAGGCAAAAGGTATGTTACATGCAACCTTCAAGATCAAGGATCTTGGACCATTGAAGTATTTTTTGGGAATAGAAATATGCAGGTCTAAGAAGGGTATTTTATTATGCCAAAGAATGTACATTCTAGAGCTTATAGCTGTGTTGGGTTTGGGTGGCTGCAAGCTAACACTTACACCACTTGAGCAGAATCAGAAGCTCACAAGCTTGGAATATGATCAGCAATGTGGTGTAGAAGATGATCCACCTTTACCAAATGTGAGAGGGTACCAAAAGTTGATAGGAAAGCTACTCTATTTGGCACTAACTAAGTTTGACATTGCCTATAGTGTTCAGACTTTAAGCCAGTTCATGCAGGCTCCTAAGAAGTCCCATTTAGAAGCAGCACACAGGGTGGTCAGATATCTCAAAAATGAGCCAGGACTTGGTGTTCTAATGCATGCAGAAGCAAAAGGTATTTTGACAACATTTTGTGATGCTGATTGGGAAAGTTGTCCTAACTCAAGAAGGTCTGTAACTGGTTACACTGTGAAGCTTGGTTAATCCTTGATATCATGGAAATCCAAGAAGCAAAACATAGTAGCTAGGAGTTCAGCAGAATCAGAATACAGAAGTATGACTCTCACGGTGTCTAAGTTGATCTGGTTGATTGGTTTATTCAAATGTTTAGGTGTTGATGTTCCTACACCAATTTAGTTGTTTACATACAGTAAGTCAGCCAAGCAAATAGCAAATAATACAGTGTTTCATGAGAGGATAAAGTATATAGAGATTGATTGTCATTTCATAAGGGAAAAGGTGCAACAAGGTTTGATACATCCAGAGTATGTCTCAACAACTGAGCAGGAAGCAGACTTACTGACTAAAGGACTTGGAAGCTGTCAACATTATCATCTACTGTCCAAGCTAGGAGTCTTGAATGTGTTTTCAACATCTAGCTTGAAGGGGAATGGTTGAAATGATTGCAGAGAAATGGTGAAATAGTAATTGCATTACTAGAATTCTGTTATAACAAATTATGTAGTAGTTAGTTAGACTAGTCAGTTAGTTAGTCATTCTATAAATAGTAGTAGATACGCCTAAATGCAATTCATTCTAATCAATACACACAAGCAGTTATTTACTCTCTCTGTTAAGCTCTAAGAATGATCTAAAAGGTCTTCATCACTTCTTCAATGGAGGTTTTATCAAATACCATGTATCCTACTATGTTTTGAAACCAAAATACTGTTATATTTTATCATTAAGCAAAATCTTACTAGTTTTCGTAAATCTGGGCACACACACCATTATGGTCTGCTAGGGAATTATGGACATTAGTTGAAACTCATACTTCAATTCATCAATGGTCTATTTTTTAAAATGCATTCTGACGCAAATGTTCATATGTTTTAATACATTACAAAAATACCAAATTATTAAGTTCTTAAACAGTACAATTATTTCCATCAAACTACAATAATAGGAGAAAAAGAAGTTCATGTTCAACATATAAATAAACTTACCTTTGACTCGCCAATTTGTATTTATTATTTTGTGCATCGAATGAGTTTAAACATATATTTAATCGTAGAGTTTTCCTCCAAAATCTTGGGTTCCGTCGTTATAGAAAAGACAATGGGAAAATTTTTGGGGTCGAAAAACTTTTTCGTAGTAACTTGGAATTTCCTAACCTAGTCCAGATTTGGATGAAATCGGAGTCATTAAGGTGTAGGGAAATCTGGTAACAACCGGGTGACTTATTTATGATTTTGATTACATGAGTAGTTATATAAGTCGTTAAGGAACTCGTACGACTTTACGAAATTGAATTCGGGTGAGTAGAACTCCCGAAATCGATCTTAGCGTGAACGATATTTTTTTAGCGTCGTTGGTTAAAGGTGTGTTGTGAAATGAGGGTCTTGGAATTATTAAAATAGCTCACTGGTTCCGTGCAAGCCACTGGGGCGAGATTTCTGCAGCCAGGGCACGGCAGCTGTAGCGGGGTGAGGACCGTTGTGGCGGGTTCAACGCGACGTTTTGATCTCGGGTCGGGGTCAGATGTGGGTCTCGATTAGGGTTGAGTCTCGAGTTGGGTGACAGATTCAGGTCTCAAATCGGGATCGGTATCGGAGTCGGGGTATGAGGTTGAATCTTGAGTCAGAGTCGTGTTCGGTTCTCGGATCTCGAATCACAGTCATATCTCGAGTCGAGAGTTGGCTTCAGGTCTCAGATCAGTGTCGGGGTCAGGTTTCAAGGTCGGGTCGGGTCGGGTCTCGTGTTGAAATCATTTTCAATTTTTGGGTCTCTCGTTGGGTCAAGTTGGGTGGCAGGGTCGAATTCTATTACAAAAGTTGGATCTTAAGTAAGATGTAGGGGTTGGGAGTGTGGGTTGGGTCTCCAATCGATGTCAAGTCGAGGTCAGGTCTCGGGTCAGGTTCAGGATTAAGTGTCAGGATCATATTCATGTTCGAATGTTGGGTCTCTAGCAGGGTTTGGATCTTGGGATCATGTCCTGATTCAGGTCATGGTCAGGGTTGGGTTCCAGTTTAAATGTCGTAAATAAATCCCAAAACGTCTTTATTCTACACTTTTCGATTTTCAAAGCTAAGGAACAAACCATAGGCGACTCTCGACAATTTTCCACCATTCTTGAGGCTAAAGGTAAGCTTTTAACTCCCCGAATCCGTTTTTCGATCCATAGAACGTAATAGAATGGGTAGTTATCGATGGGGGAGGGTTTTGATCTAGATTCTATGGTGGAAACAAGCCTATTTTGGGTGCTTGAGATCATGGGTATGATCTAGGGTTCATAGAATTGTTAGCAATTCGGGTAATTAGTAATTGTTTATTGATTCCCGTATTGTATTGATTGTTTGTAGGCCAAGAGCAAGCGGAACGAATCCGAAAAGGGAAGGATCAAGTTTCTTAGGGTTTCAAGCTTGTTTCGAGGTAGGTGATGGTTGTGATTCTATGATTGTGTGATGTATGTTTGTTCTTGCTTCATTATGATACATGTATGTATGTGAATGTTGCATTATTGATCACACTTGTTGTAAATGAGATATATGAATAACTATATGCCATGAATCACTTCTTGATTGTATGATTATTGAGAATGTACTTGTGATTGTGATTGTGGTGTGTTGATTGGATCGGATACCGCGTTCCGATATACTAATTGGGATCGGTTGCCACGTTCCGGCATAATTATGGGATTGGTTGCCACATTTCGACATAATTATGGAATCGGTTGCCACGTTCTGGCATAAACATTGAATCGCGTACCACGTTCCGGTATGCTAACAGTTTGGGTTTGGGTTCCATGAGAGGACCAATGACTTGTTATAAATATATATTGTTGAGCATGTGATAATCGATATTGTATATGTTCATTGTATGGATGTTATTATTATGTTGTATTGACTTGCTTATGTTACACTTAGTGGGATAGTCTTGTGATCCTACCAGTACACTGTGGTTGTGTACTGATATTGCACTTGCTCTTTCTTTGTTGTGTACGGGGCATCTTCAAGCGGCTATTGACAGACCTCGTTTAGAAGATCAATGATCATAGTTCGAATTCAAGGGAGAACCAGTTCTTCCAGGCTGCCATGAGTTCTCCTTTAGTCTATGTCCACATTTCGGATTTAGACTTTTCTAGTTAGTTATTAGTTGTTAGTTTGGGGTTGTGACCCTTCTTGTTTAGACTTTGGTTCATTGTTAGATGTTTTGGTACATTGACTTTTAGGTTCTAGGTGTATTTTTCCGCATTGTTAGTTATTAGATCTTTTGAAGTTTATGAGAACTTCAGTTTTTAGATATTATTCATGTTTTCGTATCCTTAAATGCTTTAGTTTTTGATTTAGTTGCTTGGTTTGGGTTGTAGTAGTGGTTCTTCCACCGGAGGGTTAGTGTGAGAGCCAATCACAATGGTTTGAATCGTGACACTTACATTTTTTAAAATTAAGTCGAGTTAACTTTTCCAATTGCATTGCAAGCACTAATCACGGAGTTGAATCGTCATATAATTAGCTCACTATTATACATTTTATTTCATGAAAACGGTCGTATTAATTACTAATGTTACTATTAAAATATATCAGCATGAATCATACACTTTAGCCTCCATTAATAGACTATGGGAGGTTTGGTTAAGGGAATAAAATAAAATACTAACTAAACATACTTCACTATCATTATTATTATTATTATTATTATTATTATTATTATTATTATTATTATTATTTATACTTTTAAAATATTACGTATTTTACCACTAATTAAGAGTTTTCTACCATATATTGAGAAAAGATATATTTAGATACATGTATTTTTGCTACCACATACACTAAAATAGCGAAAGAGGCAAGCGAGATGGGAAGGAGGCTAGCAAGATTTTGTTATGTATCCAGATACATGTGAATCACACAAGATACATGTATCTGTATGTAATTGGTGTGATTTGGCGAGCGATATGGGAGAAAGACGAGTGAGATTTGTTATGTATTTCAGATATATGTAAATTCACTTTGATACAATGTATCTAAAACAAATTTGACTCCATGTATCTTAAAATACATGTATCTAGACATATCTGAACGCGCTAAAATCTCATAATTTGCGTAATATTGCAAATTATAGAGTATGTCTAAGTGTTATTCTGCACGACAGAAAATGAGGTATGTATTACAATAATTATGACCCATGTTAACTAACCTGTTCATCCAAGTGTTCCATGCGATAGTGTTGATAGGTAAAGTAAGCTTACAAGATGGAAGAAAAATGGCATATGTTTGTTGGGATAAACACAGTTTTGACCAGAGGCGGACCCAGTACACTATGGAGAGGGGTGTATGTGCACCCGCTAACTTTCGAAAAAATCATATGTATATGTGTATATCTATTTTGAAAAACTGGTAGAAATTATGATATAGTAAACAGTGCACCCATGAAAAGCATAGAAGTGCTCTTGTGCTATTGATACAAGCTAGAGATACCACCCTTGAGACTAGGGTGCGAATCCAACTAAAGCCATTTTTTATTGTTTTTATTTTAAGTTAAGCTTAGAGCTCATATTTGAGCTATGTTTATATTGGTGCACTCAAAGTCTTCAAATCCTGAGTTCGCCTCTGATTTTGACAACAACGCCTCAGAAAGCATGAACAGGTCACATGCAAAAAAACTTACATGTGTAGTTTTGGCATTGACCTTTTTTTATTCATGTACTTTGCTTTAGAGATTACAGTCAGTGTTTCAGCATTGAATCATAGAAAAATCCATTGAACTTGAAATTACCTTTAACTAGTAAATTGTTTCACCTTCTAATTTTCCACTTATAACATATGCTTACGATTTCGTTTCTGTCATCGAACCATCACTGTCTAACTCCCTCCTTTTGTTTTCGAGTCTGCAATCGTAAGTGTCTTTTTGTCACATACAGTCATATGTTGCTTTTAAAAGTCAGTAATGAACTTTACTATTTCACGTTCTATATTTCCACTTATATGATATGAAACTTATATAATTCTCAGACAACAATTTTTTATGTGATACTATATATT